GTGCGTTGGCCAATTATTAATAAATTGCGATAAAGTTGACGCTAAAAAAAGCTTGGATGGAAATTTTACGAATCGTGAGTTCCTGTGCTGGAAAAAAGCTGGGTTTTTTTTCAAAAAAAAAAAAAAAACTTGGAGATTTGATTGTTGGCTTTTTTAGGCTGTGCGAACTGCACTTGAGCGTGAGTTCGGTTATATTAACGAAACTCGTGGAGCAGCACTGGAAAGCATCGGTGGAGTCAAGGAAAAGCGAATATTGACTAAAACAGGTGAGAATTACCGCCTTGGTATTTCTGAATAATATGAAACCACTTTTGGATCCATATTGTTTGAAGCTGTTTTTGAGACCTCTTTTTTGAATGGGTAAGTTTAGAATTTCGAAGAAAGTCTCGTTTCTTGTTGAATCTTTTGGAAAAAGCCACTTTAAAATTTATAATAACCTGCATTTTTTTTTCCTGGTTATTCGCAGCTCGATTTTTTACATTTTACAGTGGCATGGGAGAAATAGGATGTTGAAGAAAGTCGCTTAATGGAATGACTTCTTTCCCTCTAATGCAAATTTCCTCTGCGCGTGCATTTTTATTTCTTTTGTCCATTTCTACAGTCAGTTTTGCAAGGTTCCCAGAACAGAACAATATGTGTTTTTGCATTTGCATAATACGCAAAAACGCATAAGAAACCATTGAATTGACTTTGAATTGAATTGGGTCTTGTGTCAAATCTGAAAAGTTGCTTTTGTTTTTCATTTTGTTTGTAAGAGGGTCAAAAATAATAATTTTCAGGCAGAAATTTCCAGTGGGATGACTTATCACTGCCGTACTTGGATTTCGTCGAATGTTTTGCCACAGTGAATAGTGGAGCTGGTAAAAAACAGTGCAACATTGAACCTGTCCAGCACTGGATTGCCCATTTATGATTTTGCATGCCTCACGGTAGTGACCCGTAGAGTGTGTCCGTTGAAAGTGCATCTGAATCTTGTATTGTTGATTCAGCTGGGCTGAAATTTTGGATTAGGGGCAGTCTTGCAAGCTAGTAGTTGCTGCTGAAAAAGCTCCATTGCTTGAATGGCCCGTAGGAAGTAAAATGGGACCGAGGTTCCGAATTTCGGAAATTTAGACTTCCATAGAAACTGTATTGCAACATCGTTTACTTCTCATCGTTCTTTTTTTTTATTTTTTGAGGGAGAACGAGGGGAGAGGGAGGTGGGGGTGGGTTGTATGAAGCTAACAGTTCGGCCATCCATTTGGCTATTAAAATTCAGAGCCTGTTTTCCCAGTTAAGACTGTCATCTCAGTGCACTGCATAAGCGATTTTAGAATTACTTTCTTGCCAGTCAGTTTTAGTGCGTTTCTGCATCTTTATGTGGGTGCAAAAACTCATATTGGCAAAAGATGTTCACATTTCTTCACCCACTTTTAATTTAGCAACCGGAGGACCAGGGAAGCTGAAACTTTTGGAGAATGTTCTCACCCTGTGTGCGGCCATCCTGATTTAAAATTATTTTTCAACTACGCGTGGGTTTCTTGTACGGATACCAAAGAGGAAAACATATAAATTTTCCGACGAGAAAACCAAAAGCAGGCTTCTTTTCTAACAGATTTACAGTTCTGGTATTAAGTCTTTTCCCTTTCTTTAAGCCCCTCCACTTCAATGAAATAATTGCTTCCTGTGTCTCCAAACTCATTTTGCCCATGTATTTATGCGCTTTGACTACTGGTATGTAAATTTGATTGTTCTATTTTGATGATACATTGTATGGGGCAACATTATTTAGGGCTGTGGCTGTTATCCAGTTTCGTCATTTGAAAATTTGCTTTTTTTTTGGATTTCTTGTGTCGATGTTTTGGGTTTGGTCTCTTTGTTATGATACTTTTTGATTTATTCCTAATTTAAGTCAGGATTTTTATGCGTTTTTGCTGTGCAGCGCTATAGC